ACTGCTTAAGTACGGAAGATCAAACGGGTTTCCCTGGGCCAGAAATCTATGGACGTATGTGCCAGAAAAATAAAAATAATTGAAGATGATTTTTAAGTACTATAGTAGTAGGAAATAAGTTGCTAAAAAATCCCTTACGAAAATTTGCCGTTTCTCGCCATAAAACACGCTGTCTTCTTTTCTAATTCTCTTACTGTCTATTAATTATAGTAGTACAAGACTTATATATAATATAAATATGTACTAGTTAATTATATATATATCTATTAATGTCACGGTGCGGACACTCTAAACGTAAGCTTAAGTTTTAGCTACGCAGACAACAACGGAGCTTTATTATCTTGTGCCTGCCTTTTTGGCAGCGTGGTAGGCGTGTGTAGCTGCGTGCTCGGCTCCGCTAGGAGCTCTTCCTAACACTTACCGTCTCGTCTTCTATTAAGAAGAGAATCCTTCGTGTTACTTGTAACACTATACTCTTGATAGGGGTTAGGTTTAGTAGAGTAGCTAGCTTACTAGTGTAGTCAGCTTACTCATATAGTCAGCTTACTAGTGGAGCACGCTAATTAGAGTATATTCCTTGAGTGTTTTTGCCTTGAAGTATGGCCGGCTCCACCGCCTAAGATTAGGGGTCCGGTTTCGCCTATAATATAGTAATATCTAACTTATTCGCCAATAACCTTTATAAAGGACTGTTAGTACTAGCACACCTAAAACGTATAATATTTATCACTAAGTGCCGAAAACCCTATATATCGAAAATAGCTAATGAGATCGCAAGGGCTAGAGGTACGGTGGTAAATAGGTAGGTGTCGGTGTAGGGTCTTATATAAGCAGCAACCTAACCCTACACCGACCTAAGTCTTAGCAACCGACCCGAAGCCCGTGCGACTCAACCCTGCCCTTCACAACACTAGTGTAGGGGGGTACTCATTTACCAGCGTAGCTGGAGGGAAGGATATGATTCTTGATATCTAATTAGTTGTTTTTCAGCACATAGGGGTTTTCAGCACATAGGGTTCTTCAGCACTTAGTAATAAAAGTTATATATCTTAGGTGTGCTAGTGCTGACAGTCTTTTATGAGGATCATTGGCGAATAAGGCAGATATTACTATGTTATCATTAATTAGAAGGAAACCTCTATTTAACGTAGGCCGCAGGAGGGCCGATAAGAAGATAGTGCCCCTTTCTTTCTACACCAATAGCATAGGCATCTTCACGTAGCACAAACGGCGACGGATATACGGCGGTCTCTATAAGAGCGAGTCTCGTGTTATCTAATACCGAAGATGAGCCTAATCCTGAGCACGAAGCTCAACACATACACTCTCATGCATTTGCAGCTTCCGCTTTGCACACGCGGCCTTCTTGTTATCCCACGCGGGACATAGATCAGCCTGTTGTGCGCTTGTCCACAAAGAGCTAAGCCATGTAAACATTATACGTTGGTTGGTCTAAGAGTTTAAAAGAAGACGCATCGCTGACAGAAGCTAATACTATTTAGGCAAGATTACCAATAAGTGTCAGAGGCCTATCTTGTGATCAGAGGTAGCCGAATATAAATACTTATACTTATTCTATTCAACGCAATCCGATATGATAACAACCAATAATTTTTTTTAGCACTGCATCATGAAACGTACTCTTATTTTCGCCGCTGTCGCCGCCATTTCATCGGCTGCCGCCATTTTTCCTGATAAGTTCTTAGAGGAGAGACAGTGTCTTGTTAATGGATGTAAGTGACTGTCTCTAGAACACATTCCACTACTAACAAGAACAGTACCGTGCCTTACAGCCTCCGGCGAAAAGCTTGGGACATGTTGCACTGGCAGTGTTTGTACGGGTACGAAGAACTCTATGCAACCTATCGTGTGAGACACTAATGCTATACTAGCTATTCTTTGTTCAACAAAGAATACTTTTACATGTGAACCTGAGGGCACAGATTGTATCAATTAGCAAGACCTAGGGCCACTTTCTATACACCTTGAGATGGACGATTGTTTAGACATGCTACTTTGGGTATCTTACAAGTAAGCTAGCCGATATAGTAGCTGCTCATAAAGGGTAGTTGTGCACTCCATCAAATCCCAGCTGCCTTTGATCCTCTCGTCCGCACCACCACAACGTGATGTGATAGCTACTCGTGAGTTTTCTATTCAATCTGCTCTTGCTAATTACCATGTTGGTGCGTATAAGAGCATACGAGCAACTATACGCGTGTGTATTCTCTCTGAGGCCACCCTGTGCAATCGGATGAGTGCGTGGTCTAGTTACTTCCGGTATGTGGAGGTCGGCCGAATGATCAAAGGCGGTAGCAACCTACCATCGGCACCAATGCACTCTAACGTGGTAACTATGGTTATAATTAGGAACAAGCAAGCGCGAGGCTTATATGTTCGCTTGATTGGTGTGTATACTTATACTAAAAGTTTACATAGTATTAAGCTCGCTCTCCTATGTACTAATGCTGCATGATAGCTCTATCTCCCTATCAGTAATATTTGGATTTTCATCAGCCTAGTCATCGCTAAAGCCGGCTCTTTTCCACCTTCTCACACACTGGATTGCTGCCAGAAGTTGTGGATCAATATTACGACGACGAGGCTCAAGAATATCACCTAACGTACATTCCTTCATACCGGAGTGTATAGACAAAAAAGGCTAACTTTATAGGCATTTTACGCATACTATAGAGCTAATAATTTAATATAAATAATAAGAGAAGCTAGAGGTGGTAGGCTATATAAGTTATTTTATCCTAGTTTCAAGTTATATA